AGCTTTCCACGTGGCATGTTTAAGGCCACAAGATTAAAAGGCAATTTTGTATATTTGACATAACTTAAATTTAGGATCACAACATTCAAAAGTCTTCTTTATTTTCTTAAACTCTGTTCCAAGTCAAACTAGGTCATTCTTGTGAAACGGAGGGAGTAGATTATTTGGTAGATGTCATGGATGACCTCACCTTATTACTGTAGCATTATGACTACTCCAAGTCATAATGCTTATCAAAGGACATTGATAATAATGTAAAAATACACACAAAAAGAATAAGTTACTACTTCCTATTTCCTATATCTCTCTTCTTCTACTATTGTTGTTTCTCTTTTCTTTGTTCTTGTCATATTATTCCATCTCTTCTCTAGTTTTGCTATTGAAGTTTTAATATATTATCTTTATTTTATAACATAATTAAGGCAATATAGTACATTATCAATATAAATTGACCTAAAAAGTATCTAAAATTTGGCTTTATTAGATCATAATTTCAGTAAAAAGAAATCTAAAGCTATTTGACAGGTCAATATATGGCTAAAATTTGACCATGTCAAAGATCACAACTTCAATAAAAATATCCAAATTTTGACCTAGCTAAAACAACTTCAATAAGAAGTGTGATGTTTGGCTTAAACAAGAACACACTTCAAATAAAGATTGTCCAAAATTTTCTAACTTTCACACACAATTTTTTTTAACTTCAGTATCATGTGTTTGAAGTGGTCCTAAAATGGTGTATTCGAAAAAACAATTAACTCTATCTACGACTGATAAAATAATTGTCCCAAAAATTGGTATTTATGCTCTTTTGTTGAAAATATACATTTTTGCATGAATATCCTTTATTTTGAAATGATCTTTAATTTTTATCTTGTTATTCATTCAATGAAAATTCACGGGTGAAAATATCTTTAATTATGACATAATTTCACAAGACATAAGTTTATAAAAATGTTTGCCTTGTCTAACATAAGTTTAGAATTATTTTTTTACCTAGTTAAGAAAAATTCAGTTGAATAAGTTATATCTCATAAAGTATGACTTTGTTAATTCTAAAATGAACTTATGAAACTTATGCCAATATCAACATAAGCTCACTAGGAATTAAATTATGCCTTGTAGAACATAGCCTATGAGTTATGAACCGAATAAGGCAAACTTATACTTCAATCTACGTAAAACCTCTAAATCTAAGTATACTCTGTAAGACATATTTTTTAGGTTGAATTTGAACCTATGCATCTAATGCCATAAATTTGACATAAATTAAGAAGCATAATTTGTTATGTTTTATAAAACCTAATCTGTGTTATATTATAATACAAAAAAAAAAAATTTCACCCCGCAGAATTTTTCTTCTTCTGATATCACAAATATTTTCAATTATTTTTTTGCTACTTAAAATACTAAAAACAAAATTAAAGAGCATGAACTTAAGAAAAAAAAACTACTAAAAATGACCCAAAATCCCCATATTGAATAAAATTCTGAAAATATCAAAAGATTCCAAGATTTTGGTTCACCTTATACCCTCTCATCCTCACTATGGGATTATGGGATCTTATGCATGCATTGCACAAGCTTTCCTTGAGGTGGCTTATGAAGTATTTCTCTTATGTTATGTTAAATTAGATGCATTGATTATGCAAGTGACTATGTTGTTATCTCCCATGCTTATTTCCTATGTTCTATGATGATATCTCTTATACTTATGACTTATGTTATTGTCTCTTATGATTATGGTATATGTCTTATGTGGACTAATGCCTCTTATATACTTATGTTGATGATTTGTGCTAGCCATCATATTTAGTACATTATTGGACTAACACATACTTTTTCCTACATTCTTATTAAATGTAGGGTTCGGCGATATTGAGTTCCATTCCTGTGGATAGGTTCTTAGTAAAAGCAAGCAAGCAAAGACTTGGTGAGTCCTCATACCATCGAGGATTTGACCACTATGTTCTTTTATGTCTTTCTTTATGTTTAGATAGTGTATGGGTTGTGTCGCTAACTCTTTTCAAGTATTAGATGGTTTGAGACAAATGTAATAGACTTCTGCTTCGTTTTATGAGACTTCGATTGTATTTAAAAAAAATATTTTAAATTTACGCACTTTTCTATTATCTTATGTTGTGATATGCTAAGTGGCTTACATGGAGCCTTTCGGGGTTCTATGTGCCTTGTTATATCTAGGGGGTACCCCTGGGTCGTGACAGCCCCAAGTCTGCTTTTGAAGTTTGGGGCCTGGCGCCCCGCGCTAGTAGTGCGCCAGGGGTCGCCTGGGCCGATTCCTTCTTTGTTTCATCCGGACATGTTCCTTTAAGTTGTGGAAACATCCCCCTTCTTTGTAGTAGCTCCTATAGGCTCCATGTACCTTTGAAAATTTCTGCATAACCTAATCATGTGTCTTAATACACATTCAAAACTAAAGTGAGTTTAAGAGAAAAATTCAAGAGCTTTTATGTAGTTATTGTTGAGAACCCTTTTTAATCAATGATCTTAAACTAATTTTCCGAAAAGCAGAGATGAGCTTCATACATGATTGAGAAAGAATATAAGGGAACTAAGTATTTCCAAATGTAACATTTTTATATTGAGAAAAGAGAAACTTTGATTTCTAAAAAGAGTTTATGAGTTCAGGGTATTTCAGAGCAGTTACCTCTTTTAAGAGGATACTTTGAGCAATTATCTCAAACCAGAGAAAGAGTATGTTTTATACATGTGAGCATGATCATAAATATTATTGGAAGTAGTATTGAGCACCGATATGGGGATGAGTTTAGACAACTCAAAATCCTCATAAACCATGTTTTGCCAACATGGGTAAAGGATCATACCTTTTAGATGAATTCTTATTGCTTGGTGGATCCACTTAGTTAAGAGGTTCTATACCCCGACACAGTATATGACAGTTCTGGCAACGTGGGCGATTCGTTGTATCATAACATTGCTCATAGTGATGGTTGTCAATTAGAGAATCTCCCAAACAGAGTTAAAAGTGTATTTTTATTTTATCACTTAATATGTTGAGTTCTGAGATGAGTAAGTATTTTTGTAAAATTTTAATGATTTCACTCCTTTATTTCTTTACATTCAGTTGAGTATATATCTATATCTATTGCAGTCCTTTCATTTAGTTATTTTTTATTCAGCTATATTACATACTTGTACATTTAATGTACTGATGTTATTCGACCTGCATCTTATTGTGATGCAGATACAGGGTTCAAAATCATCAACATATTTTTCGTTCAGATCACTTTGCACTTCAGATAGCTTAGGTGAATCTCCTTGCATTCCGGGGGACTTCACATTTATTTTCTAGTCAGTTGTCTTGAGGTGTTGTGGGTCTTGTCTTGACATCCATCTTGAGTAATAAAGGCTTTATAGATAGTTAGAGCTGACGAGTCTCTCAGTGTGTTCCTTTCTATTTTGAGATCTTGAAAACTATTACTTATACCTTATTAAGTATTTTTAGACATTTAATTGAGTTGATTTTAATTATGCATTTAAAGTTTCCTATCGGCTTGAGTAAGTCTTCTGCTAAGTAGTGAGCCAGATCAAGGATTTGCTTGGGGACCAGCAACGGTTCTCGAGTACCGACCACATCCTGGGTGTAGGGTCGAAGCGTGACAATTACTGTAGTATTATAACTACTCCAAGTCATAATGCTTATTAAAGGACATTGATAATAATGTAAAAAATATACAAAAAAAGAATAAGTTACTACTTCATATTTCCTATATCTCTCTTCTTCTACTATTTTTGTTTCTGTTTTCTTTGTTCTTGTCATATTATTCCATCTATTCTTCTCTAGTTTTGCTATTCAAGTGTTAATATATTAACTTTATTTTATAATATAATTAAGGCTATATAGTACATTATCTATATAAATTGACCTAAAAGGTATCTAAAATTTGGCCTTACTTAGATCATAATTTCAAGGAAATCTAAAGCTATTTGGCAGGTCAATATATGGCTGAAATTTGACCATGTCAAGACCACAACTTCAATAAAAAATATCCAAAATTTGACTTTGCTAAAACAACTTCAATAAGAAGTGTGCTTTTTAGCTTTGACAAGAACACACTTCAAATAAAGATTGTCCAAAGTTTTCTAAATTTCACACACAAATTTTTGTAACTTTATTTGAAGCGGTCCCAAAATGGTGTATTCGAAAAAACAATTAACTCTGTCTACAACTGATAAAATAATGGTCTCAAAATTTGGTATTTATGCTCTTCTGTTGAAAATATAAGTTTCTGCATGAATACCCTTTATTTTGAAATGATCTTTAATTTCTGTCTTACTATTCAGTCAATGAAAATTCATGGGTGAAAATATATCTAATTATGACCTAATTTTGCAAGACATAAGTCTATAAAATGTTTGGCTTGTCTAACATAAGTTTAGAATTTTGTTTTACCTAGTTTATAAAAAATCAGTTGAATAAGTTATATCTCATAAAGTATAATTTTGTTAATTCTAAAATTGAACTTATGAAACATATGCCTATATCAACATAAGCTCACTAGGAACAAAATTATGCCTCGTAAAACATAGCCTATGAGTTATGAACGAATAAGACAAACCTATACATAGCCTATGAGTTATGAACCGAATAAGGCAAACCTATACTTCTATCGACGTAAAATCTCTAAATCCAAGTATACTTTGTAACACATAATTTTTAGGTTGAATTTGAACCTATGCATCTAATAACATAAATTCGACATAAATTAAGAAGCATAATTTGCTATGTTTTATAAAACCTAATCTGTGTTATATTATAACACAAAAATAAAAATGTTCGCCCCGCAGATTTTTTCTTCTTCTGATATCAAAAATATTTTCAATTAATTTTTTGCTACTTAAAATACTAAGAACAACATTAAAGAGCATGAATTTAAGAAGAAAAAAAACTACTAAAAATGACCCAAAATTCCCATATTGAATAAAATTCTGGAAATATCAAAAGATCCCAAGATTTTGGTTCACCTTATACCCTCTCATCCTCTCAGTGCAGAATAATTTTTGAAAACCCCAAAATCTTCTCTTATCTTCCCTCTCAAAGTTGCTCTACAATGCTAAATCCCTAAAAAGTCTCCAGCTTCAGTATCAAAACCAGGTATATTATTAATCTTTAGTGTTGGGTTCAGGTTCTTTCCAAGTTTCATGGAACAGCTCATGTGCATATTGTAGAAAAATGGCATCTTTACCTCTTGTTTCAAATGACAGATTATTAGTTACTCACAAGAAATGGAAACCCCATATTGGAAATTCTGAATCTTTAAGAAGTTTCAAGAATCAATCTTGCTCATTACCCAATTCTTGTTTTACCTCAAGATTCTGTATATCTCAGTCTAGGTACAAGAAATGGATGCTTCATTTTGGGAATTCTGACCCTTTTAGGAGATTAAAGAATCAATCTTGCTCATTATCCAATTCTTGTTTTACCTCAAGTTCTGTTCCTTTACTGGGGTTGAATTATAGGTTTTGTAAATCTCAAAGTAGATTACTGCATTGTAGTACTGGGGTTAGGTCAATGGTAAATGAGAAGGGAGATATAGAAACCCATTTGAACAAAACAGGAAATAATAATAGTCGTAGGAAGTTTTCGTTGAGATTGAGACCAAGGATAAGATTACTGTCAAGAAGGTTGAAAAGGGTATCTGTTATATCTATGTTAAATGATTTTGGGAAGTTTCTGAGGAAGAACACAAGAAGAGTGGCACTGTCAACTTCAATTTCTGTGATATTGGGTTTGTGTTATTTGTTTCTAAGATTGACAGCAACTCCTTCTCCAAAGGTTGTTCCATATTCAGACTTGATTACCAGCCTTCAGGGAGGATCTGTATCAAAGGTTCAATTTGAGGAAGGCACGCGGCGTATTTACTACAATACGAACTTGTGGAGTCTTAAAAATGCTCAGACAGGCGACGATAATTCCTTAGTTCCTGATGAAAGCACAATCATCACTGAGGAAAACAAAGATATAGATAGCAACAAAGGTGGCAGGGATGTCTTCAGTAAAATACCAAAAGCCCAAGGTTCTACCCCTGTATGGCAGTTTAGTACAAGGAAGATTGATCATGATGAAGGATATCTTCTTAGTCTAATGAGGGAAAAGGGAACAGCGTATGGCTCAGCCCCACAATCAGCACTTATGTCAATTAGGAGCTTATTAATTACTATGTTATCTTTATGGATTCCTTTGACTCCTATAATGTGGCTTCTCTATCGTCAGCTTTCTGCTGCCAATAGCCCTGCAAGAAAAAGAAAGCCAAGTAACCAGGTGGTTGGCTTTAATGATGTGGAGGGTGTGGATGCTGCAAAAGTGGAACTTATGGAGGTAAGCAATCATTATTATGAACTGCTTAGTAACTTTTAATTGGTATTTAAGTTTTGAAATTACAGTAATAGTGAGTTTATCATCTGTCAACTGGTAGTAGTCCTTTGTTGCTTCAGTCGATGAATTGTGATGCATTCAACTGAGTTCACAGTAGATGCTTAGTTAATACTTTGATTAAACAACAACATAGCCAGTGTGATCCAACAAGTGGGGTTTGGGGAGGGTGGGGGGTGTATGCAGACCTTATCCCTACCTTTGTGGGGTAGAGAGGTTGATGCCAATAGACACTCGGCTCAAGAAGAACATTATTATAACAGATTTGAAAAATACAAGAGTAAAGAAGCTATGGTGAAAATATTGTAGAACAGAAAAATACTGACAACAAAAATAGTAAATATAACCAAAGTAACAGAAACAGCTGTAGTACTAAAATTGAAGAATCAGATAATGATAGAATGATAATAATAATACTGGTAAGGAGAAGAGGGAGCAAATAAGGTGCTGTAAACATAGAACCATGCTCTCCCACAGAAAAGAGAGAAATCGCTTGGCTGGCTACTAACCTTCTACCCTAATCCTTGATCTCCATGCTCTTCGACTCTGAAGAAAAAACACCTATTTTTTCATCCAGCAAGCAGTACTGTAGTTTTAGTAGAAACTAGAAAGGGAACCTAGATGTTTGTGACTATTATTAGCCTTAACATTTGAAACATTTAGTTTCTGATGAAATGACTTAACTCAAAAAGAATCGGCTTCCCTCTTTGTTCAACTATAAATCCTTATGATCAAGTGGCCCATTTCCAGTAAGAGTGGTCTCAATTGAATTCGCATGTGAAATATCGGGTACATTCTTTAATGAGGAGTTGATTGACTATGTATTGGATGTAAATGTTGGTCCATCTTAACATGGTTATACAAGGGTTTTCAGTTTCATTTCATTTTGGGTAACTAACATAATGGGCTTTGCCAGCTTCTTTCGTTGACTGAAGAAGAAATTAAAAAGATCTACTTTTATGGCTTCTTACATGCTTAAACAAAATCCTAGTTCTTTCATACCATATTGTCCAAAAATACACAACGACAATTGTTTATTGTCTGTAATAACCAACACATAATTGTTTTCTTTACTTTCTCTTGTAACACCAGTGATATGTTAAATGGTGAGAACACAATGATCCAGTGGACTTGAAGTGATATGTATCATCTCTATACTCCTTGCACAAGTAGCACAACTCATGGAAATCCTTCTCTCCTTCTTAACTGTTCTGCTGCTGAGATAGAATTACTCTCTTGAGTGTTTGCTTCCTACATTCTCCCATACCTCCCTCTTAGACTTAATTTTAGTGAAACTTAAAACCATTTTGAATAAGAAACTCCTAACAGTTGAGGAGAAAAATGTAAGCACCATGAATTTAAAACAATAACTAGAAATTGAAGTTCCTGGCTTAGGAAATAACAACAAACTTGATAGCTTTCACATTTTTGCTGCTATATATGATGAGAAAAGTATACCTCCATATATTCCTACAAATTCAGCCATACTGTATGTGTATGACTAAAAATATTAGAGGTTGCTAATGTACCACATAGACAGACTTTCTCTCTCTCTCTTCCAACCTTTTCTTTGGTCTTGACTTGTAGTTCACTAGTGATTAAGTGAGTAACTTTTATGATGATATTGATACAATAACCTATTAGGTTTCCTTATCAAAAAGAAAGAAAGAAAGATAGCCTATATGGCTTAAGACTGCTGAAATTATTTCCTAAGATAAGGTGTCCTATTATTCCTCCTTCCATGGAAGTCAAGGAGGGTTTTGTGTAGTTCATATGTACAAGTTAGTAAAGGATCTGTCTTATTTCACCTAGTGCCATTTTTATTCCATATTGGACTGACAATCCCTTTTCTTGTTTCTAGATAGTGTTGTGCCTGCGAGGAGCTATAAACTTCAGTAAGCTAGGGGCAAAGTTACCAAGAGGTGTACTGCTTGTAGGTCCACCAGGGACAGGAAAAACCTTACTAGCTCGTGCTGTGGCAGGAGAAGCTGGAGTACCCTTTTTTTCTGTTTCTGCTAGTGAATTTGTTGAAATGTTTGTTGGAAGAGGAGCTGCTCGTATTAGAGACCTTTTCAGTGTAGCAAGAAAGAATGCTCCTTCAATCATTTTCATTGATGAACTTGATGCTGTCGGAGGAAAGCGTGGCAGGAGTTTCAATGATGAGAGAGACCAAACTTTGAATCAGGTAAAATAGAGACTGAGACCTCTGTCTCTTCTTTGATGGAGTCATCTTATTTATCTGATGGCATCTTGATTGAGTCATAAGTTTGCTGATATCCTTCTGCTATTTGTGCATTGTTTACTTGTGGATGATTAGTATTAACATTTGAGAATCTTGATCCACTGACCTCAACTTATTATATATCTACTTTTGTGAAAAGGCTTATTTGGCAGCTGCCAGATTTTTTCCATTTATGTTCATATTAGGTCTTTCATTGCCAGTTATGTGATAAATATGTGCTTCTTTATGAGAACAGGTTATGTAAGTTCATATAGAGTCGGGAGCCAAAAGGGCAACAAAATTGACCAAAAATTCCAAAAGGGCAAACAATCTATGGCGGAAACCAAAAGGGTAAAGGCGCAGGGGCCCAAGTGCCTTCCCTTTACGCTGTTAATGGCATTAACCGACAAAAAGAGGAAGACACATGACGGCATGTGCCTTGCATTCAAAAAAGAAAGGCAAATGACATTTTGCGCCTTACAGGTGCTATCAGATCCCTTTTTTCATCTAATTAATGAAATGTATTTTATAGCCAAACGGTTAACTTAGTATTTGACTTCGAACATTCTAAATTGAATTTAAAGTTATGTTTCAAATTTGAAAAACAACTTATAGTTTGTTTTCTAATTGACTTTAAAATAATAGCACATTCAAATCTAAATATTATTTTAGATATTATAAAAAGTATAACCAATTGCTATAAAATTTTATGTTATTGGATCCGTGCACAACACGGGCTATCGTAACTAGTATAAATTATAAGTATGAAAAAGTTAAGGCGCGGTAAAAATAAATTGGAAAGACTGTTAAAAACAAACATGACAAAGTTTTTAAAATACAATGCAATTTAAATAACAATCAAAACAAACATTACATTGTATTTAGACTAACAATACAGTACAACCATCCAAACAAGGTGTAAATTAAAAGAATGAAAAAGCAAAGAATGTTAAAATAACTATAACTATAATTAAAAAGAATGTTAAAATAAGTAAAGAATGAAAAGGAATCTTAAAACAACTAAAGAATGAGAAATAATTAGATGAAAAAGGGGTCTGACAGTGCTTGTAAGGCGCAAAATGTCAGCCGCCTTTTTTTTTAATGTAAGGCACAAGCCGTCATATGCCTTGTAAGGCACAAGCCATCATGTGCCTTCCTCTTTTCGTCGGTTAACGCCGTTAACGGCGTATAGGGGAAGGCCTGTGGGCCCCTGCACCTTTACCATTTTGGTTTCCTCCATAAATTGTTTGCCCTTTTGGAATTTTTAGTCAATTTTGTTGCCCTTTTGGCTCCGTACTCTGTTCACACATATAGTTCTTAAAACTGGAAATTTCTTAGAGTTGCACTGCAATTCCTAATTCTGGATTTAATAAATGTTGCAGCCCTTGTTATTGCTATAAGATGTTAGAAAATTAAGATTTGTCTAGAGAACTCCTAGATTGGAGATATTTTGTATTAGATATGTTAGAAAAGTAAGATTTGTCTAGAAACTCCTAGGTTGGAGATATTTTGTATTAGATATGTTAGAAAAGTAAGATTTGTCTAGAAACTCCTAGGTTGGAGATATTTTGTAGTAGATATGTTAGTCTTGATTTAAAATGAGTGGTGGCTAGTGAGCCACATAGGTACATAGTTTGGTGTGAGATATTTTGCTTATTATGTGGTGGTAATTCTCACACTTTATCTATAAATACACCATATGTAATGAAACATCTAGTGGAAAAAATTGAACTCAAGAAAACTTAAGCCTTCTTCTTCACTTTCAGATTTTCTGTAGCAATTTACAACTTCTATTTCCTGTTGTTTACACCTTGTAGACCTAAAGTTCTTCCTTTTCGTTGTAACATGGTATCAGAGCCTATTTTCTAAGGGATCTGAATCAAATTTTGTTTGTTTCACTCATCTACTTTCTGTTGTTTCTTGAATTTGCTTGTTGAAAAAAATTCATGGCACCTGAAAATCAACCAACGATAGGTCCTCCAACTTTTACCGGAGAGAATTATCACATATGGGCCATCAAAATAAAGGCTTATCTAAAGGCTTTCAACTTATGGGAAGTTGTTGAGCTTGGAGAACCTGTTGTCCAGCCATTGAGAGTTAATGCAACTCTCAATGAAATTAAGAAGTATGATGAGTTGGTGACTAGATCCCCACGAGCTCTCACCTGCATACATTCAAGTCTTACGGATGTGATGTTTACGAGGATTATGACTTGTGAAACAGCCAAAGAGGCTTGGGATAAGTTAAAGGAGGAGTTTGAAGGCAGCAGTAGAGTAAAGTCTGTTAGACTCTTAGCATTGAAGAGAGAGTTTGAGCTTTTGAAGATGAAAGACTGAGATAGTGTGAAAGAATACTCTTCAAAGCTGATGGAGATTGTGAACCAGATAAGAATACTTGGTGAAACCTTTCCAGATCATAAAGTTGTACAGAAGATCTTGGTCAGCCTTCCAAGCAAGTTTGAATAAAAAATCTCAGCTATTGAAGAATCTTGTGACTTGACTACTCTTACAATTGCCGAACTAATCTCCAAATTGCAAGTCCAAGAGCAACGGGTCACTATGAGAAGTGAAGGGATAGTAGAAGATGCCTTTCAAGCAAGGCATAAATTCAAACATCAAAAGGAAAGCAGAAAAGTGTGGTTGGATAAATCTACAGAGGTAAAATCTGGTGGAAACCATGGTGATTTGTCAATAAAAGAAAAATTTCCACCTTGTGGCATTTGTAAGAAGACAAACCACTTAGAGAAGAATTGTTGGCAGAATTCAAAGAGGTCTCCAATTCAATGTAGATATTGTAAGAAGTATGGTCACATTGAGAAGTACTGTAGGCAAAAGCAAAATCAAAGTGGCCAGTCTTCCCATCGAGTGAATTTCGCAGATGATCACCAAGTTGGAAAATCAGAGGAGGAGGTTTTCATGGCCTCACACACATCACATATTGATCAATGTAAATGGTATGTTGATAGCGCATGCACAAGGCACATGGCGATTGATGAAAATCTGTTTGTTACCTTGAACAGATCTGATAGAACCAAAGTGAAGCTTGGAAATGGCGCATTGGTGGAAGCTCACGGTAGAGGGTTAGTAAAATTTCCTACTGACGAAGGTACGAAAATTATTAATGATGTTCTTTTATGTGCCAAATTTGACTCAAAACTTGTTTAGTGTTGCTCAATTTTATTCTCTTAATTTTAAGGACAAACAACGTGTCATTTATGATCCTAAAGGATGTGAAGTAGCTAAAATTAGCATGATTGACAATTCCTTTCCAATTTCATGCTATTCTATTGATACTTGCTCTTTTAATGTTGAATTGAGCGATACTTGGCGTTGGCACAAAAGGTTCGGTCATTATAATCTTAGCTCACTGGTGTATATGCAATCAAAGGGTATGGTGCTTGAAGTACCCAAAATTGACATGTGTAGAGATGTTTGTGAGTCATGTCAATTTGGTAAAATGCATAGACGATCCTTTCCTAAAGGAAGTCTTTGGAGAGCTAAGGAAAAGTTAGAGTTGGTTCATACAGATTTATGTGGACCAATGAGGACGGCTTCTTTGAGTGGAAAAAAGTATTTTGTTCTCTTTGTAGATGATCTGACTCGAATGACATGGGTCTACTTTCTTAGTAGCAAATATCAAGTGTTTTCTGTTTTCAAAGAATTCAAAGCTATGGTAGAAAGGGAGAGTGGCTGTAAATTGAAATATATTAGATCCGATAGTGGAACTGAATATACTTCGTATCAGTTCAGCAAGTATTGTAAAGATTTGGGTATCCAAAAACAATTCACTGTTAGCTACACTCCACAGTAGAACGGGGTTTCTGAGAGGAAGAACAGAACTATGATGGAGATGGCGAGATGCATGTTGGCAGAAAAGAAGATGCCTAAATACTTTTGGGCTGAAGCAGTCAATACTGCTGTCTATTTGCTAAATAGATTACCAACTAGAACAGTCCAAGACATGACACCATTTGAAGCATGGAAGGGTATCAAGCCGTCTGCAAGACACTTGAAGGTATTTGGTTCGGCATGCTATGCACATGTTCCTGATGCTAAAAGAGGCAAATTAGATAGCAAGGCAGAACTGTGTGTTCTGTTGGGCTATAGTATTGTTGCAAAAGGATACAAAGTGTACAATGTTAGCAGTAAGAAGGTGTTTGTTAGTAGAGATCTTGTAGTGGATGAGTCTAGCCACTATGATTGGGATTGAGATACTGTTGTGAAGAACCAAGGTGGGAGTACTTCAGCTGCAACTCCAAATCAGAAAAAAGGTGATACTCCCTCTAGTCCTATTGCTGGAACAAAAAATAATTCAGATGTTGAATTGACTACAGACTCTCCTGTTTTGAAGACCAAATCACTAGCAGAAGTTTATGAGCAATGCAATTTTGCTCTTGTTGAACCATCCTCATTTGAAGAAGCAGCAAACCACAAAGTGTGGATTTCAGCAATGGAGGAGGAACGTGCCATGATTAATAAAAATGATACTTGGGAGTTGGTTGATAGGCCAGAAGAGAAGAATGTTATCGGTGTCAAATGGGTCTATCGAACAAAGTTCAATCCAGATGGCTCCATCTTCAAGCATAAAGCTAGACTTGTAGTTAAAGGCTATTCTCAGCAGCCTGGAGTGGACTTTGGAGAAACGTTTGCTTCTGTTGCACGGCATGAGACAGTAAGGTTTCTAGTCGCTCTCGCAGCACAATACAAGTGGAAAATCTTCCATTTGGATGTAAAATCTGCATTTCTCAACGGATTGCTTGAGGAAGACATTTATGTGGAACAACCTGAAGGCTTTACAGTTGCAGGTGAAGAAGACAAGGTGTACAAGTTTAAAAGGGCTCTCTATGGTCTTAAACAAGCCCCAAGAGCTTGGTATAGTAGGCTGGATTCTCATTTGCTGTCTCAAGGCTTCAACAGAAACCTAAATGAGCCTACTTTGTACTTCAAAAGGCAAGCGGATGGGAT